TTATTTCTATATTATTAACTAAAATATATTGAAATAAAATTAATATTAAAGTTATTTAATTGACTTTGTTTAAACAAAGCATTGTTATCTAAAGCAAATATAAAAGAATAAGCATTTAACTCAAGGATAATCTGAAAAGAACCAATTGCCCATGTGCTTTAGAGGAATATATATGCTTTATATTCAGTCCTGTAGAAACACTGACAGAAATGCTACTTCCCACAAGTATTAAAACAGTTAAGAAAAAATAATACAGCCAATTTAGATTTTGATGGTTGGCATTTTTATATCAACAAAACTGGTTCTAATGCGTGGCATTTAACCATTAGTCTAGATTTATAAAACTGGATCTCTTAGAAATTATGTCGGGAGAATGTAAAGGCATGTAAATTGGCCTATAAACTGTTGACTTATTGTCTTACCAGTGAAGTCTCTGAGAAAGCAATAATTCTGGTATTTAGTATGTATAAGACTAGAGCCTTAAAAAATGTTATTGTTTGCAGAGCAGAGAACATTAGAATATTTGCAGTTTTACTGAAGCCTTTATCCGCATTTATACCCAGAATTTAGGTACATTGTAATATATGAAGTGATATCATGGAGACAGCATGCATTACTGATGTGGTTTTTAGTTTACATGATGCAAGCCTGCGTAAAAGCACACTACACTATGGAGAGGAACACAGCCACATTCACAACAGTGGGGACTAACCTTATTTCTACAAGAAAAGTTAAGGTCAGTGTGGTCATAAAAAAAAAGCAACAATTGAAGATACTTCTTTTTTAAAATAAGCAACACAAACACAAGAAATTATGTTCTATCTGGTCATCATTTTGAATAATACAATTCAAATCATTCTACAAAAATCTGTAATCTTAACTTTGCAACACATGGTGCTTTAATAAAATAAAATTTTGGAGAAAACATGTAATCAAATCCTAACACCCTAAATATTTTTAAGTGTTTTCTCCAGAAAATCATGAGATTAAACTGAAGTTAAATCCAACAAAAAGGGGGGAAAAGGGTTAATTCTGTTAGGATTTGCGTAAGATACATGCAGGTAAAAAAAGTTTTAAAAAGTATGTTGAATATTAGTGGCATAAAATCACATTTTTAGGTTGACTCAACTAAGATTTTTCCTAGATTTTTTTCATTATAATCATTATTTTAAATACATAATGTATTTTAAATACATTATTTTAAATATTTTGTTATTCAAATGCAATTATCTGATAACAATTTTTGTTTTAAAGCATTTTTTATAAAAAGAATTCAGTTTTTAGATTTAGAGAGGAAAGAATCTACTCTATTAAATGGGAATTAGAAGATAAGAAAGCCATTCCCTTTTCTTTCAGCCATATATTCAGCCCAACTTGCTATGGAAACACCTGGCAAAGAGCTTCTAGAGCTATCTAGAAATTATACCAGAAACACAGCAGTCCTGCTCTATTCCCTGATATTTTTATCTAATCATTTCAGAGTATACATACACACATGATATAGATAGATAGACAGATATAAATATAGATATAGTTTATATATAAATTTTCTGTGGCCCTGATCCATATTTTTAGAAACTTCTCTAAGGAGTCCATGAACACAGTTATAAATCACAAACCTAAATGAATGTATATAATCTCATCTAGGTTTATAATATAGAATATTATGAAAGAAGTGTGAAAAACTTAATTGTTTCCAATATGATTATTTCATACTCAAGAAATTTTGACATTAAGCCTATTTTGTCAATAAATACACATTTTGTAAAATTCAATTGGATTTCTGGACCAAAGATTTAAAACTGCTCTTCTTGGATTTTAGTGGTAAAAATACTGAATAGGGTAAACAAAAACTTTTCCTAGAAAATAAAAATTATCCTAAAATTTAAGGGTTTAGATATAGTTAGTTCTATAATAAAATTGTCTTGGCCTAAAAACTTGACAAATTAAACTGAATGTGGATATCAGAGCATAGGACTATCTAGTCATATAAGATTATAAACTAGGAGGAATCATTATATAACTATATATATATGTATACATACATAACTATATCCAAATCTATAATGTTCAAAATACACTTTAATTTTCATTAGCAACAAAGCTCAGATGTTAGGTAACCTAAATAACTTGATTCAAAAATAAGCAAATAACGTTTTTAAAATTCTCACTTGAGTAAAACAAATATTTTTTGCCAAATTCCTTGAGTTCAATGAAAGTAATTTTTCTGCTAAATGTTACCTTTCACTGCCTAAATTAAAGAAAATTAAAACTTCATCCAGTTACAGTCTCAAAAGAGTTAATAAATTGCAACTGATAATATTTACATTAAAGGCTTTTGATTTATTTAAATGGACTGTAGTTGGGACCAGTATTTATTTCCATATCCTTGGATTTTTTCCTAGGAAGAAAAATCATGCCAGGTGCTCTCCAATAGTCCCTGAAAAGCAGGGTAAGGGGTATTAACTCACCACTACAATCCATGCCAATGTTCTGGCTACAGAAACTTAGCTCAAGACAAAGAACTGTCACTAGCTCACAAGCAGAAAAAAATAAAATATGGAAAAACTTAAACTTACTTTAGAGATTCCACTAACATGCAAGACAAGTACACTGCTGTCTAGTTACATTTCTGTCCCAGGAAAACTTTTATTAGTGTTTTTTATCAGTGTCTTTATTTAAAATTGTGGTTTGAGAGAGAAAGAAAAAGAGGAAGAGGAAGAGAAAGAGAAAGAGAAAGAGAAAGGGAAAGGGAAAGAGAAAGAGAAAGAGAAAGAGAAAGAGAAAGAGAAAGAGAAAAAGAAAGAGACGTGCCTGTCATAGAGGAAGGCAGGTGGAGGTATTGGGAAGTGTTGGAAGGGAAACTGGGGACATTGGTGCTAGAAAATCCAGTTAAGGATGCTTAAATGATCCTTAACTCCACTCATACTTTTAATTCCTTTGTTGAAGACTAACTGTCCTTATATTGAGGAACAGTCTCTGGGCTCTCAATCCTATTCAATGGGTCTGAGAGTCTGATTCTATTCCAGTACCACACTGTTTTGATTACTATGAATTTATATTCTAATTTAAAGTTGGAAAGACAGAAGCTTCCTATCTTTTCTTCTAGGATGCATGCAGCTATTTGGTTTATTATTCTATATAAATGTCAACAGTATCTGGTCTGTCTTCAAAGACTGTTATGGGTATTTTTATAGGGATTTCATTGACTCTTATACAGTACTTTAAAAAGGACTGTCATTTGGACAATATTAATCCTTCCAGTCATGAACAGGGTATGTGTTTCTATTTCCTTGTGTTATTTTTCATTTCTTTTAGGAGTGATTTATGGTTTTCTTTCTAATATCTTCCATACTGTTACTGTTGTTACTGTTACTGTGTCTGGCATATCGAATACTCTCGGTAGCTTGCCAGGCTCTCCAAGAGGGGCGGAGGAATCGAACTCGGGTCGGCCATGTTGGCCGCTTGTAGGGCGAACGCCCTATCCGCTGTGCTATTTATCTTCCATAAAGCAAATAATGTCAAATCTTCCATGGAGAGGGGGCCCTACAGAGAAATAGCTACACTGTGAAGACTAAAGTTTCTCACCCTCTGCTGGAATTCACTTGCATGTAGAGAGCAGCTATTAAACAATTTTGGACTGTTACATGTTACAATTTGAAATATATTTAATTTTTGTCTTAAAGCCTGCTATATATTTATCCTAAGCATCAACTAATTTATTCTTCAAGTAATTATTAGTATTATTGCAAACCAGACACTGAAAAATAATGCCAAGTTAGAAAATCACAGGGCCCATGTTGTCAAAAAGTGTGCAGTCTATTTATTAGGAGTGAGGACAGAAAAGAACAGCCAAATAAATTCAGAGTCAATTGTATTGTGGTACTTATGTTACCATATTTCTATGTTTATTTTCCCCACTTTGCTGTCAGATTTTATTCTGTCTTTTTCTTTATGGAAATACAGATTATTAATGAGGTGGGGTTTATTAACATGAGCCAGAGGAACTTTTTGAAATTTCCCTGTGCTTTCTTTAAAGAGTTAGAAGCAGCCCTGTGTTGGGAAATTTTGTCCACTGAAATTTTTAAATGACTTACCAACTGTCAACTGTGATAAGAAACAAAGCAATATTAATATATCTTACTATATTTAATGAGGGCAACTCAGCTGCAAAGACTTAAACTAAAAGAGGGAAAACCGGGACTATTTTCAAGAGAATAAAATCAAACAACAAAGGAGCTCTCAGAAAACCAGGGTTGAAAAGTCAACTCTGGAAAAGAAAATCATCATACTCTAAGGAGAGTGTTCTCTGCCTGGCACCAGGTCATTTCAACCAAAGCAATCATGGACCGGGCCGTCGAGACAATTAGTTTTCTCTTAAGCATCAGTCACAGAAGATAGGAATCATGAAGCTTTAACTGTGGAGAAAGTTGAAGGCATTCAAGATTCTCTGTAACATAAGTGAGATTTCTCTATTATCTTCAGTAACCTGTCTTTGGAATCACTGCAAGGAAAGAAAAGGAGGGGTTCTTATAGGACAGGGAGCATTCCATCTATCTATGACAAGAGGGCAAAGGTATGACTTATTAAACCTTGGAAGAGAAAACTCCAAAATGAATAATAATGAAGGGCAAAAGCTATAAGAAGGGGAATGGGACATGAAGCTGGAAGAGGTGAAAAAGGAGAGAAGTTATTAGGAAAGCAATAAATGAGCAACTGAAAAATAGTAACAATGCAATTCAATGAATTGTACAATGAAAATTAGTTTTCTTATTCAAGCTTTCTTCAGTTTCTGGGACTTCCATAAATCATTGGCCTACTTTTTTAAATTGATTTTTTGATGAAAGAACATACTTTACCTTTTCATTCAGTAACCTAAACAATCAATGACACTAAAATAGCTCTTTCTAGGCTAGTTTGATGGGGCAGGGATTTGGGAACTGCTTAATGAAACAATAAAAATCTCTAAGGAGATATTTCCATAATGCCTGGTCACTTACTTTGTATGATCTGTGTCTGGCCTGTGGTTTTCTTCACCATGGTGAATACCAGTCCCTTTACCAAGTCCCCATCTGAATGTATTTGAATATTGAATTAAATTTTCTGGGATGGACTGATACCATTTACATAAATTTCCTTTTTCAAAGTCGCAAACTTCCATAGCTTGAAGAGAATAAAAAACAAAGAAAGAAAAGATGCATTCATCACAATAAATGTGTCACTAAATAGTGATTTCTATATTCACTGGCTCTTTCTTGCTCTTCTTAAAATTATAACTGACTTTTCTGCATTAATACAATAATTGGCAAATGGATGCCATAATAATTAGAATATTGCTTTAAAACCTAGGTGTATTATACCAAATATCTTCAGTAACTAAAATATGAGAAGAAATGCATATACTAACAGACTACCTTCATAAGTAAGTGAAATTTTTAATTAAATTCTAACAGCAATAAGCATTACAAGTCTCTCCTAGCAATGTAAAAGATAGTTGTCTTTTCTGAAAAATATATTGTCAGAAGGCTTACATTGCTTCAAGGATCTACCAGTTCTAATCAGTCTGTTCCCATCCCAGGGTAATATTACAAATTTAGACTTTCATTCAGCCTTTGAAGGGATTATTCCAAATTCCAAGGTGTTAATTTCAAAGCAATATTATATAATAACTTTGATATTGAATACAGATCCTTAAAATTTTTCAAAAATGTATAGTAATTGTATCCTAATATCACCAGAAATTATAACTTTTAAATACCTTTTTAATAAGTCAGATGTATGAGACAATGAATGTTCTCCCTCTTCCAACCCCACCTCTTTCTGAATGTGCTGTGTGTCTGATTAAAATCCTATTTACTTAGTAAATCAAAAGATTCAACTCAATGAGGTCTTGATTAAATATAAAAAGTCAGTTTATACTTTTAAATGACATTTAAATGACATCAACAGTGACAGCAAACACTGCCACCATGTAGAAACTTAAATTCTTGCTTAAATGTGAAATTTGAGATTGAAATATTCCATTTTTTAAAAAAGTGGTTTTAATTATAGCATACATGTATGTTATATAATTTTTTGGTCACAATATAAATCACATTTTTTCTTGTGAAAACTGACTTAGTAGAATTGTGTTCTTCTATATTGTTTTTAAAAGCTGAACAGAAGTGTATGTTTTTTAAAAAACAATTAGAATCAAGTTTCAGTCAAGAGATATCAATATGCTCTCAAGATCTGCTATAAAACACTTAGCCAGAGTCAACAATAAAGTGCTTTACTCCAAAAAATTGGTTTGAAGGGTATATCTCATTTCATATTCATATGACATTTTAAATATGATAATGTAAGTCTACAGCAGAAAGGCATATTTGTCTTAATATTTTATCTTACAAGGAGATGAAAGAGGTATGATAACACATTTTTTTCAGAAATGAAAAAGATAAGAATTCGATTAATTCTTAGTCTCAATTCCCTTATGATTTTAAAATAGTAATATAACAGTAATGCAAGGACATATAAACTACCCAATCAATCAAAATGATCAAAAATGATATAGAAATTCTCCATTCAATTATAAATGTCATTAGAAAGGCTGAAAATAGGGAGTTAGTGTTTGCTAAACACACATATTGGGTAAAAGTACTTAACTTTGGCACAAACTTTCACAAACAATTTGAGTTTATGTATGTTCATAAGAAGATTTTGGTGTCTAGCATGAGAAAGTTTGAATGCTATAAAAAGTATCTTTCACTATGTAATCATCCACCTATCAAATGAAGTATATATATACCCCTAGACAATACTGAGTTCATTACTGTATCAATACATTCAACGAATGAGAAAGCTTTGATTTTATTATTTTTAGTCTAAGTTATTTAGTTCATTAATTGCATATCTATATATTAAGAAGTTCTTATTTGTTCTAAGTTGAAAAAATAAATATGAACCTTACCACTATTTCTTGACCAGGTTAACATAAAACAAGTCAGTTTATACTTTCTGTAGAATATAAATGTTCTGAAATCTTATCAGGATGACTGAGAAACTCTATGCTACAGCAAATTTTCATTGTACTCAATAAAAGACTAGGCATTGTGCTCAATAAAAGAGTAAAGAAAAAAATCACTAATATCACCAAACATGATAGTGCTTACTCCTTTGATCTCATGCTTTGCAATTCATATACAGATTAGGGATTTTTTTTGTGACCACATATTTATGGAGTCCAATTTTATGATAAAAGAATTTTTCTTTGGTCTACTAGGAAAACATATGGATCAGCAGATGCCAATAAATGAAAATCTTTCAACAGTGTCCTCATTGACTATTTATTGAAATAGTATTAATTGTGCATATGCAGGTAGGAAAAGTCAAAATCTGAACGAATTAATTGGGGGCATTATTATGTTTCCTCATGAACTCCTTGCGAGAATATATAGAAAATAGGAAGTAAAATGATTGTTCTGTAGTCAAGTAAAAGTCACAAAGACAAGTATTTTGAAACCAAAACACTAATTAAAATACAATTACCTATTGTTTTGCGTTATAGAAAAATGTGTGCTAATTCTTCTACTATAGTTCTCTATACTCAGAGCTTTTACATGAAGAGTTTTCTCTATACCAGATTGGCCAAACTTCTGACACTAGGCTATGTTATTAAGATATTGTATAACTTTTTCTTGTCTATTCTGTGATTATACTTAATACAAATTTAGGAATCTACCTACCACAGGACAATTCATCTGATTTGTCAGGGCAGTCATATCTAAAATCACATATCTGAATTTTTTTAACACAGTGACCACTGGACCTGCAGGCAAACTCATTGTCTGTACAGTTGTTTGGAGGTAATGTTTCTGGAACTGAAGTTTCTGGTGGATCTGGAAGGTCCACTGGTAAATCACCTGAATAAGAAAAAATATAAATGCATTATTTAGTAAGTTTTATATTTCTTTAAGGATTTTATACAATGGACTTTTCTAAGTATGCTTCACATTACACATTAGGAACAATATTCAACAGCTTTTGCCAATTTTCTGGACTCAAGTAAAATTATGAATTGGAATTGTAGCTAAAACTCTTTGTATGTCTTTGACTATAGAAAATATTAAGGTGCATATGTAAAGTAAAGTAAAGTAAAAAGTAAAGTAAAGGCCCTCCCATCGATCATCAATTTGCTCGAGCGGGCCCAGTAACATCTCCATTGGAGACTTTGTTGTTACTGTGTTTGGCATATCGAATACATCACAGGGAGCTTGCCAGGCTCTGCCGTGCGGGCGAGATACTCTCGGTAGCTTGCCGGGCTCTCCGAGAGGGACGGAGGAATCAAACTCGGGTCGGCCATGTTGGCTGCGTGCAAGGCAAACGCCCTACCGCTGTGCTATCTCTCCAACCCAGGTGCATATGTATATCATTCAAAATTATCAAAGATCATTGAATATACAAAGTTCTAAAGACAAGCTGAGACTATCAGTAGAAACAAAGGAAATTCCACATGATAGTATTAGGGACAAATTCAAATTCTAAATCAAGATTTTGTAGTCAGCTTGCTACATAAATTTTGTTCATTTATTATTACAATACACAATATTTTCATCTTTGCTTAATACATATGTTCAAAACATTCAACATTAAATTCAAGTTTGCAAGAACAACCAAAAGAGATGAAGCCATGTCATTTATGAGAAATGTATAGATGTTCATTTACTTTCATGTTGATTTACTAATTTATTTATTAATAATATTCCTGTGTCATAAACATGGCCGTTCCAGTGGATTTAAGGTCAAATATGTCATCACTGCCATAAAATAGTCTACAGACTAATGGATAAGGTAGTCAGGTAAATCTTTCACTTGCTATTCCTATGTAACTCCACTAAAGCAAAAATGACATTAAACCTTTCACTTTCACACAATTTGTAGATCATATTATATGGCAGGTACTTATCATTAAAAGTGAGTGAACAGATAATAGACCATAGGTAAGTGACTGGATTAATGGATTGACAGATGAATGGAGGGAAGGAGGGATAGAGAGCAGATAACATAGTAGATTAATAAATAGATTTACCAATGGAATATAATACAAGGAGAACCCAGGAAAAGCATATAACCAGCAGAAAACAAAGAGAATTATCATAGGGTGATATTTGAACTAAGCTTTTAGTTTTTAATGATGATGAGTTGCTTGATAAAGAGGTCTTTGAGCCACAAGAAAAGAATTGCATGAAGGCAAAGAAATACAATAGTCCTTGAAAGAAAAATAATGGGTCTTTTTGCAGAGAATAATGAATGTGGTGTCATTAGATAAGGGACTTGGGGAGAGACAGTTACCAGATGATAAAAAGCTAAGAGAGTCCCAACTTAAGAGTTTGAAGTAAATACAAAAAGCTTGAAGAAATGCCAAGACACAAAATTTCCACTTCAATAAGCCTTTTCTGGCATTAATGTGCAGATAAATTGGAAGTTGTTCTGACATGGAGAAGAGAATAGTTAAGCTTTTTACTTTAGTTCCAGGAAACTAATAAAGCAAAGCAGAGACAGTGGAAAGGAGTGCTAAGACCTGAGCAATACTAAACACTGGGTGTCGGAAGACTGGGGATTTGGTGCTTTTGAAATTTGTGCAAACACCATAAACAGTATTTTACTTCTTAGCTTAATCTTTAAAATAATTAAGAAGTGTGGAAAAAGAATATTGCAAATAGACCAACCAGCTTTTTACATTAAAAGGTTGATACTTGGCAAAATGGTCCTTACTTGCAGAGAAATGAAAGCGGAAACAAGTAAACAAAATCTCTGTTGAAAGCTGTACTAGACTTCTATTTTGTTACTTTATGTTCCCCAGATGAATGCAATCTTTCTATGTCTCTCCCTCTCTTTCTGACTCATTTCACTTAGCATGATACTTTCCATGTAGTACCACTTGTATGCAAATTTCATGACTTTATCTTTTCTAATGATCACTGGACAACTGAAACCCAAGCACAAAAATTTGTATTTACAACTGTACCTCATGGTGTTTCACTAATAAAAATTTAAAAAAAAATAAAAACCCTGTTCTTGAAATTTCCAGTCGTTCCAGCCTGGAATTCTTCCTTTGTGAATGATCACAGGGAAGAATGAAGCAGATCTCAGTTGTATCTCAGTAATCTTTTATACAAGGGCTTAATGGCTCTACATTGATATACAACAATCTTCACTAACTTTCTTCTAAGGAAACATTTTTGATCATCCTTTAGAAAGTTATTTATAATAAACAATATAAAATAGATTATTGAGGGTCTGCTCTGTGGACAGGCATAAGGAGTAGTTGGGAAAATTGGAAATAATGATGGTGGGAAGGTGAAATGGTGGTGGGATTGGTGTTGGAATATTGAATATCTGTAACTAAACTGATGATTTAATAAAGTTATAAAACTTTTGGAAAGATTCCAATTGCAAGCAACGAAAAGAGAAAATTGAAAGACCAAATATATGTACCCCAGTTTTGCTTGCAAACTCATCCATTGCTGCTTTTCCACAGGTTCATCACTTTATATAGGTTTTTCACAGGAGGACTGATTCCACTCTCCTAATATCATACATAATATTTCACTGCACCAAAAATCTTCTATATTCTTGTCTATTAGACCTTTCCTCACATTCTTTGTCCTCAGTTCTGGCCAATTATTGATATTTTTACTATCTTAATAATGTTTTATTTTCTAGAATGTCTTATATCTGGAAGTGCTTATCTTTTAAGATTGGAATTGGTTTCTTCCACTCTACTACATATTTAAAATTCCTCCTGTCTTCATGACTTTATAGCTTATTTCTTTTCAGTTCTAAAGTAAATTCTCTGAATGTAGTACAGGTCATCTATCCATTTCCCTACTAAAAGACACTTTGTGGGGTCTGAGATCATGCATACCTGAGTCTGCTAGGAGTGATCTCTGAGCACAGAGCAAGGAGTAATCCCAGAAAACAATCAGTGTGGTCCAACTCAAAATAAAGAAAGATATCATTTTTGGTGATATTTATATCAAATATTTATATTGATATTTATATCAAATACTTGTATTTACAGAGATAGGGTGTTTGCCTTGAACGCAGCCAACATGGCCGACCCGAGTTCGATTCCTCCGCCCCTGTCAGAGAGCCCGGCAAGGTACGGAGAGTATCTCGCCCACACGGCAGAGCCTGGCAAGCTACCTGTGATGTATTCGATATGCCAAACACAGTAACAACAAAGTCTGCAATGGAGACGTTACTGGGCCCGCTCGAGCAAATCAATGAACAATGGGAGGACAGTGTGTGTTATAAACATATCACTTTTTTCAGACTTTTGCCCACTTTTAAACATAGCTGTTTTATTTTTGTCAGCGTTAAAGAGTTCTCTATATTCTTTGGATAACAGCACTCTGTAGGTATGTTATTTATCATTTTTATCCTTTTCTGTGACTTTTCTTATTTTCTTTATATTGTCTTATAAACAGTGAATATTTTCAATTTAAAATTTAATTTATCAATTTATTTTTTTTCATGGATAAAGTCTTTGGTGCTGTATCTGAAAAGTCATCACTATATTCAAGATCATCTAGATTTTTTCCTACGTTTTATTTATGTTTTATTATTTTGCATTTTATACTTTGATATCCCATCTATTTTGAGTTAAATTTTGTCAAAGTTACATGGTCTCTGTCTCAGTCTCAGATTTCTTTTTCACAAGTAGCCAGAGTTGTTCAAGCAAAAATTTTTTCTTTCTTTCTTTCCTCCTTTGAATTGCCTTCATTTCTCCAGCGAAGAACAGTTAAATCTATTTGCGTGGTCTCTTTGGGCTCTCTTTTCTATCCCAAAAACCCATTTTTTTTACTCATAGACCAATATCAAAACTGACTTATTGTAGGTTTCTTCCCTCTTGAAGTCAAACAATGATGTTTCTCTTAGTTTCTTTTGATACAGCATTGAGTATAGTATTTTGCCTCTGGGCTTTAGAATTATTTTGCCTATATGCTTATAAAATCTAGAACTGTTACAAGATTGCAATTATCAGGCTGCAGTCCTAATGAAAGTTCTAATAAATATGTAATTGCAATGATAACTTCTTGATAATAGTGAGTTTTCATAAATGGCTTAGTATTTATCTTGAAACACATTTCCTACTTAAAATATTATGTAAATATATTCATTTGTTTTAACTGCTTTAGGATATTCTTTAAATGAATACTACAAATTGAGTATTTATCATATGTGTAATCTTTTTTTTCTTTTTTGGGTGACACCCAGTGATGCTCAGGGGTTACTCCTGGCTCTGCACTCAGGAGTTACTTCTGGCAGTACTGGGGAGATCATATGGGATGCTGGGGATCGAACCCGGGTCGACTGTGTGCAAGGCAAATGCCCTACCTGCTGTACTATCACTCCGGCCCCCTCTTTTATAACTGTAATTTTATCCCTGGGTTTAAAAAATATATAATCTCCTCCCTTCATTATCTAATTCACTTCTTTGGATCTGAACTTAAATTCATTTACTGTTTTGCATGAGGCTCACGAGGCTTCTTAAATTCATATGTTACATTAGTTTTCAGCTATTATATCTTAGAAAATTGCTTCTCCATTTTCTTCATTGTTTCTCAGAGCTCTATTAGTTTTTATGATCTATCATTCATGTAAATCCATCTCTCCCTTTTTCCTTCTCTCTATTTCCCTCTGAAATTTTCTCACAGATGTTTTCCAGTTTACTAAACACAACAAAAATTAGAATTTTCATTTATTTGACTTAGTCAAGATCTTTATTTCATTGATTTCATGTCTCATTTCAATTTGATTTTCTCATTTTTAAATCATATGAAGTGATTGTGTTCTTATGACTTAGAATTACTTTGTCATTTTAAGTATATATTAGTTTTACATATTTGTATGACAA